ATGTAGATAGACAGTGGAGGTATACAGTATGTGAATGGGCAGTGGAGGGTATACGGTATGTAGATAGACAGTGGAGGTGTACAGTATGTAGATAGACAGTGGAGGGTATACGGTATGTGAATGAACCAGTGGAGAATTATACAGTATGTGAATAATTAGGAGGGTATACAGTATGTAGATAGACAGTGGAGGTATACAGTATGTAGATAGACAGTGGAGGTATACAGTATGAATAGACAGTGGAGAGTGCTGGTATGTAGATAGTCAGTGGAGGTATACAGTATGTAGATAGTGAGTGGAGGGTATACACAGTATGTAGATAGACAGTGGAGGAGATTGCTTACAGTATGTGAATGGGCAATTGGAGCTATACAGTATGTGGAATGGGCAGTGGAGGGTATACAGTATGTAGATAGACAGTGGAGGTATACAGTATGTAGATAGTCAGTGGAGAATTACAGTATGTAGATGGTGGAGGGCATACAGTGTAGATGAACGGTGAGTGTACAGTATGTAGATGAACCCGAGTGGAGGTATACAGTATGTAGATAGACAGTGGGTAGATTGTACAGTATGTGTAGATAGACAGTGGAGGTATACAGTATGTAGATACAGTGGAGAATTATACAGTATGTAAGGTAGTCAATTAGGAGGTATATACAATTATGTAGATAGTGGGAGGTATACAGTATGTAGATAGACAGTGGAGGGTATACAGTATGTAGATGGGCTTGAGTGGGAGAATTTATACAGTATGTAGATAGACAGTGGAGGGTATACAGTATGTAGATAGACAGTGGAGGGGTATACGGTATGTAGATGGTGGAGGGTAATACAGTATGTAGATAGTCAGTGGAGGGTATACAGTATGTAGATGATTGGAGGTATACAGTGGCAGAATAGACGGTGGAGGTATGGTATGTAGATAGACAGTGGAGGTATACAGTATGTAGATAGACAGTGGTGGGTATACAGTATGTAGATAGACAGTGGAGGAATTATACAGTATGTAGATAGACAGTGGGTATACGGTATGTAGATAGACGGTGGAGGGGTATACGGTATGTAGATAGTCAGTGGAGGGCCTTTGTGGTATGTAGATAGACGGTGGAGGGTATACCACAGTATGTAGATAGACAGTGGACGGTATACGGTATCATGGAGGTAGGAGGTATACAGTATGTAGATGGAGCAGTGCCGAGTATACAGTATGTAGATAGACTAGTGCAGGGTATACAGTATGTAGATAGACAGTGGAGGGTATACGGTATGTAGATAGACAGTGGAGGGTATACGGTATGTAGATAGACAGTGGAGGGTATACGGTATGTAGATAGTGGAGAAATTATACGGTATGTAGATAGACAGTGTGGAGAATTTATACTGGTATGTAGATGATAGTCAGTGGAGGTGTATGCAGTATGTAGATAGTGAATTAGTGCTACATTCTGTAGATAGACGGTGGAGATTTATACGGTATGTAGATAGACGGTGGAGGTGTACGAAAGTGTGGCAGATGATTGGAGATTACAGTATGTAGATAGACAGTGGAGGGTATACAGTATGTAGATAGTCAGTGGAAATTTATACAGTATGTAGACTAGTGGAGGTATACAGTATGTAGATAGTCAGTGGAGAATTATATACAGTATGTAGATGAATCAGTGGAGGGTATACAGTATATAGATGGGCAGTGGAGAGTGCCTGATATGTAGATAGACAGTGGAGGTATACAGTATGTAGATAGACGGTGGAGAGATTTATGCAGTATGTGGATAGACAGTGGGTATACAGTATGTAGATAGTGGAGGTATACAGTATGTGGAATGGGCAGTGGAGAATTGTATACAGTATGTAGATAGACAGTGGAGGGTATACGGTATGTAGATAGACAGTGGAGGTATACGGTATGTGGGCTGGAGCAGTGGAGGTTATACAGTATGTAGATAGTGGAGGGTATACAGTATGTAGATAGACAGTGGAGAATTTATACAGTATGTAGATAGTCAGTGGAGGTACAGTATGTAGATAGTGAGTGGAGGGTATGGTATGTAGATAGACAGTGGAGGAATATACGGTATCATAGATAGACAGTGGAGAACTATACAGGTATGTAGATAGTGGAGGGTATACGGTATGTAGATGGGCAGTGGAGGGTATACGGTATGTAGATAGTCAGTGGAGGGTATACAGTGTGTGAATGTAGACAGTGGAGACATACGGTATGTGTAGATAGACAGTGGAATTGTTATACAGTATGTAGATAGACAGTGGAGGTATACAGTATGTAAAGATGGACAGTGGAGGGTATACAGTATGTAGATAGACAGTGCAGGGTATACAGTATGTAGATAGTGGAGAATTGCTTACAGTATGTGGATAGTCAGTGGAGAATTGCTTACAGTATGTAGATAGTCAATTGGAGGTATACAGTATGTAGATAGACAGTGGAGGTATACAGTATGTGAGATAGACAGTGGAGAATTATACAGTATGTAGATAGACAGTGGAGGGTATACAGTATGTGGATAGACGGTGGAGGGTATACAGTATGTAGATGGCCAGTGGAGGGTATACAGTATGTCAGATAGACAGTGGAGGTATACAGTATGTAGATAGACAGTGGAGGGTATACAGTATATGTAGATAGACAGTGGAGAATTATACAGTATGTAGATAGTGGAGATTTATACAGTATGTGGGAGATAGACAGTGGAGGGTACTTCTGGTATGAATAGTCAGTGGAGGTATACAGTATGTAGATGATAGTGGAGGGTATACAGTATGTAGATAGTGGAGGGTATACAGTATTATGTAGATAGACAGTGGAGGGTATACGGTATGTAGATAGTCAGTGGAGGGTATACAGTATGTGAATGTCAGTGGAGGGTATATACGGTATGTAGATAGACAGTGGTTATATGCAGTATGTAGATAGACGGTGGAGTTATACCGGTATGTAGATAGACAGTGGAGGTATACAGTGTGTAGATAGACAGTGGAGAGTATACAGTATGTAGATAGACAGTGGAGGGTACAGTATGTAGATAGACAGTGGAGGTATACAGTATGTAGATAGACAGTGGAGGTATACAGTATGTAGATAGACAGTGGAGGGTATACAGTATGTGAATGAACAGTGGAGAGATTGTGGTATGTAGATGGTGGGTATACGGTATGTAGATAGACAGTGGAGGGTATACAGTATGTAGATGGTCAGTGGAGGTATACGGTATGTGAATGGTCGGTGGAATTGTATACGGTATGTAGATAGACGGTGGAGGTATGCAGTATGTAGATAGACAGTGGAGGTATACAGTATGTAGATAGACAGTGGAGGTATACAGTATGTGGAATGGAGCAAGTGGAGGGTATACAGTATGTAGATGATAGACAGTGGTGGGTATACGGTATGTAGATAAGACAGTGGTGGGTATACGGTATGTAGATGAACCCAGTGGAGTATACAGTATGTAGATAGTCAGTGGAGGTATACAGTACCTGTAGATAGACGGTGGAGAGTATACGGTATGTAGATAGACGGTGGTGGGTATGCAGTATGTAGATAGACAGTGGAGGTATACAGTATGTAGATAGACAGAGTGAATTTGGGTATACGGTATGTAGATAGACAGTGGAGGGTATACGGTATGTGTAGATAGACGGTGGAGTGTACAGTGTTATGTAGATGAACAGTGGAAATTATGCAGTATGTAGATAGACAGTGGTGGTATACGGTATGTGATGGTCGGTGGAGGTGTACGGTATGTGTGGAAGTAGACAGTGGAAATTATACAGTATGTAGATAGACAGTGGTGGGTATACAGGCATGTAGATAGACAGTGGAGGGTATACAGTATGTAGATAGACAGTGGAGTATACAGTATGTAGATAGACGGTGGAGGGTATACAGTATGAATAGATGAACGGTGGTGGGTATACGGTATGTAGATGAGCAGTGGAGGAATTATACAGTATGTAGATAGACAGTGGAGGGTATACAGTATGTAGATGGGCAGTGGAGGTATACAGTATGTAGATAGACGGTGGTGGGTATACGGTATGTAGATAGACAGTGGAGGTATACAGTATGTAGATGGGCAGTGGAGGGTATATACAGTATGTAGATGAACAGTGGAGGGTATACGGTATGTAGATAGACAGTGGAGGATCTTGGTATGTAGATAGACAGTGGTGGGTGTATACGGTATGTAGATAGACAGTGGAGGGTATACCAGTATGTGTAGATGGTGATGGTGGGTATACGGTAATGTAGATAGACGGTGGAGGTATACAGTATGTAGATAGACAGTGGAGGGTATACTGTTATGTGAATGGAGCAGTGGAGGTATACGGTATGCAGATAGACAGTGCAGGGTATACAGTATATGTAGATAGACAGTGGTGGGTATACGGTATGTAGATGAACCACAGTGCGTTATACAGTATGTAGATAGACAGTGGAGGGTATACGGTATGTAGATAGACAGTGGTGGGTATACAGTATGTAGATGAACAGTGGAGGTATACAGTATGTAGATAGACAGTGGAGGGTATGCAGTATGCAGATAGACGGTGGTGGGTATGCAGTATGTAGATGAACTGATTGGGAGGGTATACATTATGTAGATAGTCAGTGCTGGTATACAGTATGTAGATAGTCAGTCTGGTATACAGTATGTAGATAGACAGTGCAGGTATACGGTATGTAGATAGACAGTGGAGATTCTGGTATGCAGATGAACTTGGTGGTGGTGTACGGTATGTAGATAGACAGTGGAGGGTATACAGTATGTAGATAGTCAGTGCAGGTATACAGTATGCAGATAGACAGTGCAGGTATACAGTATGTAGATAGTGAGTGGAGGGTATACAGTATGTAGATAGACAGTGGAGGGTATACAGTATGCAGATAGACAGTGGAGGGTATACAGTATGTAGATAGTCAGTGCAGGTATACAGTATGCAGATAGACAGTGCAGGTATACAGTATGTAGATAGTGAGTGGAGGGTATACAGTATGTAGATAGACAGTGGAGGGTATACAGTATGCAGATAGACAGTGCTGGTATACAAAGAATGGTAAACAGTAAATTGGTTCAAACCAAAGCTAACTCAATGAAGTCATCATATGTTTAGTCTTAGTACTGTATGTACGGAGTCAATAAAATAAAAAGAAACAAGATGCGTAAGAGTTTGATACATAATAGAACTATAATGTACTTTATAAGAGTAAAAGATCCTAGCAGTTGGAGCAATTGAACCAAAAAACAGTATTAAATTGTTGCTAACCAGTGATAGGCAGTGCTCAATAAAGTCAGGCTTAATGACTCAAAAGAATGAGTACAGTATTTATAAAAAATCATCAAACTAGTTCACTTTTAAGCTATGTTCTGAAGATGACTGATTCATTCTTTTGTCTCAAGCTGAAAGGAAAATCTTACAAACCACTCTTTGAGGACCTGGACCCAGGCTGCCAGACAGCATCAGTTCACTGTATAACTTGGTGAAGATGTTTGAAGATGGTGTCGGCGTACAGGGTAGCTTCCTCCGTTGACACGCACTTGGTCGAGTAGTCGAGGCCGTACAAGAACCGTCCACGGAAAGTTTGCATCATGTGATTATAACCAGTGTTAAACCTGTATAATGATGATGACATGTTGAGCCACGTCAGCTGCACCAGATCACCTGGTGGGGGCAGAAGGGAGGTTATGTCACCCCAATTTGAAATAGTGTAGAAGTGAGGCGGTGGGAGAAATGCCAGCATAGCCTCCACATTTGGAGGTTCTGAATGGAATATGTGAATGAGCATTATCTCTTGCACAGGTGTGGCCTCCAACTGGTGTTTCTGGAGGTCCCGGTGCAAAGTTCGAGTGTAGTCCCAAAAGGCATCCCCAGCATCCTTGGGTGTGTCAGTGATGAGTTTGATCCAGCTCAAGTGGCAGCCCAGCGCGCGGGTGGTGTCTCTGTTATCTTTCCAGTATCGCCGCAAATTCATGCTGTGGGCACCTCCAATCTCATAGGTGTCTTGCATGACCCCTCGATCCTTAAGGAGGTCAATCAAGGCGATGTTGACAAGGGCAGTGAAAGCCGAGAGAACTGTAACACCCTCAGACCTGCACCTACTGGAAAACCTGGAGGTGTCACTGTGGCTGAGGCTACGAGTCAGGTTGAGGCTCTTATCTTCTGAGTCTAGAGGCACAGGAAATACTCCGTTCATCACAGCAACCTTCCTCATGGTGGACTGAAAATCTTGAACCAACTTCTCTCTCAGTGTTGGGTCAACTTCCATCTGGTGCTTCCTCTCCTTCACCAATCTGAAGGTCTCCTCACCCGCGTCAAACTGCCCCAGCTCTTCCTCGTCGTCAATGGATCTCCCAGCCATCATATCGTTCAGCAGACTGATGATAAATCCACAGATTTTTACAGATGAAAGGCCATCTGTGATGCCATGGTGGATGGCAAATAGAAGGTGGTAGTTGTGAGGGAAGGACTCATTCAGTTCTGGCATGGCTGTTGGTTCCGTGTCAGGTAGGAGCCTAGCGCGCCACAGCGGTCCTCGGGTAGAGTCAAATGGATGTCGCTTCAATAAATGGAACTTGTGGAAGACCTCTTCCACACCATCGTCTGGTACGACCTAAATGTATAACACATTACTATATATTATTTGAGTTTAAAGTGGAACATGCAGGGTGTACAAGTAAAACTTTGTTAATATTAGATGACATGTTTTGGTAAATGAAGCAAGGGGTTGGCAGGTATTTGTGCAAAGTAGAATGCAAAACTATTTCTTCCTTGTTATTTTTAATGAATTATGACACCCTTACCTCAAAGTCGATGTTCTCTGAGGCCATCTCGCACATCCATCGCTTTCCTTCTCGAACACCATAACAGGCCCGCAGGTTAGGCACTTTCCTATCGTCAACTTAAAAAATTAGTGGGAAGACTTCTGAAAGCATTCTTTGGCTTTATGTTAATGACCTAAACAATATGCTCTATTTCTTTAACTAATAATTGAAATTTCAGAGGTGCTATCAAGCGTTTATTGTTCGAGCCATGCCCAATTGGTGCCTGACCATTGATTCATGCCTGCCTGCTGTCCAGCCATTGCCCTCGTTATTCGATCTCCTGAGTCGATGTTCCGGACATTTAGTCATGGATTGTGGATTCATTGTATAGTCCAGAGTTTGGGCTCATGGTTATGTTGTAGGATTGTGGTGACTGCTAGTGTATAGTTTATGACATTTAGATACATATGTACCTACAAAGAACTCCTGATGCATTTGAAACAGAAAAGGAAGGAGTCAATGAAAAACTGAAACAGACATACATAGTTTTATACAAGGGGAAAGTAGTGGAGGGATATGCACCAGAATAAAACCAGGGGAGAACAGAACATATCCCTACCCCTTTACCTCCCACTCAGGAGGAAGTGAGTGCCATGTAAACAATGTCATCTCTGGCCACACCCCACAAATTACAATGAGTTTCATAAAACGAGGCAGCTGCTGAGAATGGAGGGAGGCTCGCATCACTACCAAGATTAGAGATGTTACTGAGGACTATTTCTGGCTTGAAATTCATGAACCTGTACACTAATACTGACACTTTCCTTGATAAGAGACTAGGTTATAAAACCCTACTCAAGACACATCAACCTGACATAGTAGGTGTTGTAGAACTGTAGTACAAGAACAGGAAAAACGCCCAGGAGAACTGTGAGTTCAATATATTGTAGATGGATATGACTTAATTGCAAACCTTTCTCAAGGAACTTGAAAGAGAGGGGTGGTTATCTATGCTAAGCAAGACTTTTGAGCCAGCCAAGTGAGGGTGCAGGGGAAGGACGTTTTTTGAAGAATTGAAGTGGTATAAAATTAAACTAAAGTGGAGAGACTTACTCATTGTTGGATATATCTACAGATCCCCAAATTATAGCTTATTAAACCAAAGGAACTTTAAGAGCCTTAAATGACAATGCAACGGTGCTCAACCCTAGCCACCTCCTTGTCATGGGGGAAGAAATGAAACCACATCAAATGACTTTAATAATCCTGCTACTCTTTTTGTAGGAACTCTAAAGGACAATTTTCTATTCCAACATGTTAAAGATCCAACTCTTATGAACGTTAGAGAATTCGGACCCTTGATACAGTGACCCCTCCGTTAACGAACTCAATCCGTTCCAGAAGGTCGTTCGTTAACCGAAAAGTTCGTTAACCGAAAAGTTCGTTAATCGAAACCATTGTTTCAATGGGTTTTTGGGTAATTGGTTCCAGCTCACCGAAAATTTCCTAAATTCAACAAAAATGGTAGAAAAGTTCACTTACTTTGAGGCTCCTGGATGATGATGATGATGATGATGATGGGATTTAGAATGGGGGTGGAGGAGAAGGAAGAAGAGAAGGCATTGGGGTGGAAGAAGTCACCCCATGGCGCCATTTCACCCATAAAATTTTAGCTCTCTTGGTGTAATTCAAGATTATTTTCTTTAAATCAACACTGCACTGCATTATATATTGTCAATATGTAAAATATATTTCAAAATGACCAATAATTTGCTTGGAAACACAGAAAAAAAGCGTTTAGTTGAAGAGAGTCTCAAGCAAGATGTTACCTCCAGTGAAAACAGAGAGAGACTAACTCCTGTTTGCTGTGTTAAGAGGCTGGATGCCGCGCATTAAACTAGTCACTTTACCTTCAATTATGTTCAATAATTGTTAAAATGACTAAAAAATTGAATATTAAACTTTTAAAATTATTGAATAGTATAAACTTCTTGATATTTACTAAAATAGTAAGGAATTTAAGCCCTAGAACCGATTAATGTATTGGCGGACTGATACTAAAGCTGGTTGCCCGGTCAGTGCAAGCGAAAACATGTTGAGGTCGATTCGTAAGAACTTCGTAAACCGAATTGAAGATCCTTATGGAAGGCAGTTCGTTAATCGAAATTACGTTAACCGAGGTGTTCGTTAAACGAGGGGTCACTGTATTGATATAAACTTTTAACTGCCAGGGTGTGCCCAAATGCATTTTCTTCAGTACCCGACTCCCATAATTTTTATTGTTAAAATTATTGTTGTGACTACTGCTACTATGACTATTTCTTCTACAAGTGTACTGTTTCTACTAATAATGACATTATTACTATTTGTACTGCACTACTACAAATATATTTTTTTTAATTTTACAGACATTCATCTTCACAATAACAAATACTCTTGATCCCATTTTATCTACAGTAATACTGAAGTAACGATACAGTTATATCGGTACTAGAGACGTACCTATAAAGGTGCGTAAAGGTTTCCCTGACGAGCTGTTCCTGTAGGGGTTGAACGGCGCTGAGAGTGAGGTGGTGGCAACACATAAAAATACCGTTTTGGTGGAAATCCTCAAACACATCCTCCTCGGGTCGTGCAGGTCTCATGTACCGTATGCCACTGTCCGCCATATTGCCTTTCCCCGTTGGTGTCGCCAAATGTTTATGTTTCCTAAATAAATAGATACTGTTCATAGATAGAGAGATAGATAGATGGAACAAATATAAGATACAGTAATATATGTATATATAGCAATAAATAAATACACCCTGTGGATATATATTATTCAATAAAATCCTCATACAAGTTTACATTGCGTTCAGCACGAACTGTATAAATTTTGTGGTATAGACAGTATGAGAATACAAGGGCTCTCCTGGAAATAACCATAAGAACCTAAGAATGGAGGAAACTGCAGCTGGCCTATTGGCCCATACTGGGCAGTCCCATTTACAGCCAACCCCTATTGCTCATATATCCATCCAACCTATGTTTGAAGCTATCCAGCGTATTCGAGTTAATGATGATATTTGTTAACTTGTTCCACGCATCCACTATTTCCAAAACAATGTTTACCTATTTTGCAACTAAATCTAAATTTGTCTAATTTAAAACCATTGTTACGAGTTCGCTCCTAGTTGGATAGTTTGAGTACCTTGGTAATGTCCCCTTTGTTCAGCCCTGACTTCCATTTATACACCTCTACCATATCGCTCCTCACTCTACGTCTTTCGAGGGAGTGCAAATTAAGATGCTTTAGCCTGTCCCTGTACTCAAGGTTCCTAATGCCCGGGATTAGTCTTGTCATTCTTCTCTGAATTCTTTCCAAGGATTCTATATCCATTCTGTAATACGGTGACCAGAATTGAACTGCGTAATCCAAGTGAGGTCTCACAAGCACAAGATATAGTTTTAAGATGACCTTGCTAGTCTTGTAACTAACACTCCTTTGTATGAACCCAAGTACTTTATTAGCCTTGTTTAGAGCAAATACACATTGTTTACTTGGCTTAAGATTCCTACTTATCATTACACCTAAATCTTTCTCACAGTCGGATTTCTCAATAACATCGTTGTTCATCTGGTATCTGGTTTCCCTGTTTACATCTCCAATACTGAGTACTGTACTTTACATTTGTCCACATTGAATTTCATCTGCCATTTTTCAGACCATTCGAAAAATTTGTTTAGATCTTCCTGTAGTTTTGCGGAGTCCTCGTCAGATTTAATTACACGCCCTATTTTAGTGTCATCAGCAAATTTACTTATGTTGCTGTCTATGCCGATATCTATTTCTTTTATGTATATAATAAATAATAATGGTCCGAGTACTGAGCCATGGGGAACTCCACTAGTGAAGTTGCTCCAATGGGATTTAGTGCCGTTAAAGCTCACTCGCTGTTTCCTGTTCTGTAACCACGCCTTAACCCATTTTAGAATATCTCCTTTAATGCCATGAGCCTCCACTTTTCTTATTAGTCTTTCGTGGGGGACTCTGTCGAAGGCTTTGCTAAAGTTGAGATATACCACATCATAATTGTGCCCCTCGTCTACTGACTCAAAAACAGATGAAAAGAATGTTAATAGATTAGTTAGACGTGAACGCCCGCTTGTGAAGCCATGTTGGGAATCTTTGATCAACTTGTGCTTCTCCAAGTGATTTTGAATAGTTTGAAATGATTGCTTCCAGTAATTTGCCTACAATTGATGTTAGACTGATTGGTCGGTAGTTAGAGGATAGTGATCTATCTCCCTTCTTGAAAATCGGTATTACAGTACATTCGCTATCCTCCAGGATTCTGGTACTACACCCGTTTTTAAGGACATGTTAAACAACTTTGCTAAGGGCATACTAAGCTCTTCCTTACATTCCTTTAATACTCTGGCAAATATCTCATCGGGACCTGGTGACTTATTAGGCTTTAGTTTGTCTATTTGCATACCAACATCATTACCAGTCACTACTATCTCGCTTAATTTATTTTCTTCACTATCTTTGTATAGAGTCAGTGCCTCGGGTATCATGTTTAAATTTTCGGTGATGAAAACTGTTGAAAAATATTTATTCAGATTATTGCCGATTTCTCCATCGTTATCAGTTAGCTCGCCGGTATCTGACTGTATTGGTCCGATCTTTTCTCGTGTTTTAGTTCAATACATTTGATAGAATCCCTTGGGGTTTGACTTCGCCTCCCTTGCTACCTTCAGTTCATTATTCCTCTTTGCTTTTCTTATCTCGGTCTTAAACCTATCTGCCAATACTTTATAATAATCTTGGAGTTAAACTTCACCACGATTTATTCTCCTACCTATAGCCTTCCTTTGTCTAATAATAATCTTTAAATAATTATTTATCCATTTAAGGTCATTGTTGTTTGATCTGAGTTTTCTGTATGGTATGTTCTGCCTTTGTGCATTAAGTAACTTATTATTTAAATTGTTGTGGAACTCGGCAACCTCAGATCTCGTTATCAGGTCAACCTCAATCGTCAGGTCTCCAGGGAAGGTGAGGTCGCCCTCTTTGGGTACATTGTGTGAGGTCATGTAATTCAGCCCCAAGCGTGATACCCCTTCTCTGCCTCCTAAGCCTCTGTTGGCTTAAGAAATAGTCCTGGATTGTTTCAAGAAAATCCTCTGATTCTGAGTTACCCGTAAGGTCAATCCAATCTATTTGGCTAAAGTTAAAGTCGCCTACTATACAGACTTTGCTATGTATGAAAGCCCTGCGCATTTCATCCCAAATAAGTGGCTCATTAACTCTATCAAGATTAGGAGGTCTATATATTACACCTGTGATTAATTTTTCCCTACCATCGATTAATTCTATCCAAATTGTTTCTGTATTCCGCTCAGTTTTTATTTCACACTTCAAATTAACCCTGACATAGATTACTACTCCGCTTCCTTTCCTAATCTGCTTATTGGTATGGAATAATTTGTAACCTGCAATTTGGTATTCGACAGGTAGCTCACGTGAGTCTAGGTTTATCCATGTTTCGGTGAATGCTATTATATCGATTTTTTCGGTACATACCAACGCCCTGATTTCATCCATTTTGTTTCTTATACTTCAACATTTAAGTTAGTCGTGTTCCGAGTCCTCTCTTTGTTGCGTTTAGGTTTTAACTACCAGCCTAATTTAGTTTTTCATAATTCCTAGCACTATTTCCCTGTAACCTTTAATTTTGTTTACCTGCTCCCACTGCAGTCTCCTCCACCCCCGTGCTCATATGTTCTCCGAGAAGTTTAAAGACTTCAACATCTTTTGAACTGCCCTCTCGAGAGAGCCAGCCAGGGTTGCCACCCCATCCCTAGCATAAAGGTCCCTTCTGCCGTAGAAGTTGTCCCAGCTGTTAATGAATGGGACTGATATTGCCTTGCAATATCTGTCAAGATGGCCGTTGACACCAACTGCCCTTGACAACCATTCAATGCCAACTCTTCTTCTTGGCAGGCCACCACATATGATAGGGATCCCTCCCTTCGACCTAATACGTTCTATAGCTGTCTTAAACTTATCAAGAAGCTCCTCACTCCTACACCGGCCAATATCATTGCCTTCTGTACTAAGGCAGATAATGGGTTTGTTCCCATTACCAGACAAGATATTGTCCATCCCGTCAACTATATCCCCCACCCCAGCTCCTGGCAAACACACCCTCATCCTATTTATATTTTTACCACAAAAAGCTCTGTAACATACCACACGGGCTGCTGGGCTGCTGTAACATACCACACGAGCTGCTGTAACATACCACGCGAGCTGCTGTAACATACCACGCGAGCTGCTGTAACATACCACGCGGGCTGCTTTTAACATACCACACAAGCTGCTGTAAAATACCACACGGGCTGCTGTAACATACCACACAAGCTGCTACCTGCTACCTACTAGCTTACAGATGGATGCCAAGTACAGGTAAATCAATAAACTTTAAATATTATCTGACAGTACAAAATCAAAGGTAATAATTATGTCAATCAATAAGTTTAGGACAAGGGGAAGGTAAACCAAGTGGCAAAAGAGATTCTGAACTTAGAAACAAAACAGTAAATTAAACCTCTATAACATATGTTTGGCACCAAGACCTCTCCACAACACCCCCCCCCCCTCACCAACAAGCAAGTCGTGAGTGCCCATAAATATATATATACCATGTGACTCATAATCAAGGGCACAGTATGCATTCTGTTCTCTTGCTTAGATATGCTCATTGAGACATTATTATTCCTTTCTAAAAATTGTTTTCTCTTCAATGCAGAAGCAAATGACACCATTGCAATCTCTCACAAAGGTAGAGGAAACAAACAAAAAAGGGGTGAAGTAACAAATAGGAATAATCTACATACACAAATTTCCTCAGATTCTCAATATGTGTGAAGAACTGTAGACAGAATTAATATCTGGGAAATATTTCCACATGACTGTCTTTAAGATAGATTGTATGTGGTAATAACATCCTTGGCAAGACAACAGCTTATAAGTCATGTGTCGCTGAATTAAACTAAAAGCTTAGAAGGCTAAAAACATATAATGCAAGGCAAAAAAATAAAAATAAATAGCAAAGAACTTTCATAAAAACCATTTAAACATTAACAGATAAAACTTAGAGCTTATGTAGAAGGCTGGCTTCCTCCACAAAGGCGAGGATGTCCCTCACCAGCACTAAAGGGAGCAGGTAAGACCATCCCCCAGCACCCTGGCACTTGAAGAGGTGCTGTCCACGAAAATCTCTTAGACTGAGGCACTCCACCAGGTGTCAAACAGTCAATGGGCCCAGGCAGTCATCGCAATGGGGAAGCACCTCCCTTTCCATTAAAAAACCACAAGTCAGCTGCACATGGCAAAGGTGGAGGTGCGCCAAAGCAGTCTCCTAGCAGGATGGATGTCGTGGAGCTTGTTTGCTCTGACAGAATCCTACTTGCGTTGTCAACTACATGGACCAGAACCCAGCAAAAACTGATGTTCCGGGCCTGACATTGAATGAGAAACAGCCATTCTAAAATAGCTATAACCAAGGGATGGGGTGATGAGACACTAGCTAAGGCCTGGAGAGCATTGTGAGAATTGCTATGAGTTTGGGTAAAAATAATCTTGAGGGCAAGTAAAATACCTGAAAGCTCTGCCACAAAAATAGATGCTGTAGCGGGGAGACTACCGTCCCG